TAATGCTTGGTGGAATGGAAAAGAACTTAAGGAATGGTACTCACTTACGAGGGTAAGTTATGATTCAAAATTTTCCGGGGATTTTACCATCCTAATAATGCTTATCTATCTAGTCCCTTCTTTTCTAAGGCCCTGCCTAAGTGTTCCTCTAGACAAAATTGAATCTTGATCACAAATGTCTTTTCTTTTCTTTTAGTGACATTAACATGATGATGGTTGGTGATCCTTCTGTTGCCAAATCTCAACTTCTAAGAGCAATTATGAACATCGCTCCATTGGCAATATCAACTACAGGCCGGGGTTCTTCTGGTGTTGGTTTGACAGCTGCTGTTACTTCGGATCAAGAGACGGGTAATAACATATTCCATCTCTTGCAGTTCAACTTTTGCATTATATGATGTTATTACGAGGAAGATACAAATCTGTCTGTTATCAGGGGAGAGAAGGCTAGAAGCTGGTGCGATGGTTCTTGCTGATCGTGGTGTTGTCTGTATTGATGAATTTGACAAAATGAATGATCAAGATCGTGTTGCCATACATGAAGTTATGGAGCAGCAGACTGTAACAATTGCCAAAGCTGGTATCCATGCATCCCTCAATGCACGGTGCAGTGTGGTGGCTGCTGCAAATCCCATATATGGTTCTGTAAGTGACACAGCTAATGGTCATCAACCATTTGATAACATATTTGCAATTTGTTGTTCTGACTGTCGCGTTTTTTTTATTTAAGTAATTTAGTCAAATTTTTTTAACGCTGGTTTTTTTAATAATCATGCAGTATGATCGCTCATTGACACCAACAAAGAATATTGGACTTCCAGACTCTTTGCTCTCTCGTTTTGATTTACTGTTTATCGTATTGGATCAAATGGACCCTGACATTGACCGTCAAGTCTCAGAGCATGTGTTGCGCATGCATCGGTATCGTTCTGCAACTGGAGGTACTAAAGCAGAAATCTCCTGTTTATGTTTTATGATCTTTGAGAAGTACAAAATAAGTTTCACTAATTTATAAGTGTAGGTGAGGCAATGCTTGATGGGAGCTCGGCTTTTGGAAGAGAAGATGAAACTGATAATGACTCATCTGTGTTTGTTAAGTATAACCGAATGCTACATGGGAAAAAAACTGATAGGGGTCGAAAGCGTGATACGCTCACAATCAAGTTTCTTAAAAAGTATATTCATTATGCAAAGAATAGGATTGAGCCTGATCTGACTGATGAGGTACTGGTTCTTTATTTGATGATTTATATACTCAATAATATACGTATGTTTTCCCTCGGTCACGTCATTTGTTGCTTATCTTAGAATCTTACTTGTGCAATCTGCCATATAATATCTTTCTTGTGGAGAGCCTTTTCAGTTAGTTTATGAACTTGTCTTCCTGACCTGGTCAGTGCATTATGAATCTGTCTGATGGCTAATAACAATTTTTTTTTCCACAGGCCTCTGAACAAATTGCAACAGCGTATGCAGAACTCAGAAATGCCAGTTCAAATGCAAAGGTCAGCATTTGTCATCATTGTATATTTAGGCATGGTCAATGCAATGACTTTCTGACTATAATCTGATATCATTTTTGTTATTCAGACTGGAGGAACACTTCCAATCACCGCCAGAACATTAGAAACCATCATTCGTCTCTCAACTGCTCATGCAAAATTAAAGTTGAGCAGAAAGGTACCTTGTCAACTTTAATGATTAATAAAGTCCAAACGGGACACGTTCATTCTGCTCTTTCATTTATTTGTGGAATCAAAACTATGGTTTCTTCATCAGTTTATGTGTTCTGTGACTGTCAATTGTAACATTCATCAAACTCAAAAGTAATGATAAATCTACCTTAACAGGTTTCAAAGTCAGATGTTGACGCTGCTCTCAAAGTTTTAAATTTTGCAATTTATCACAAAGAATTGACTGACATGGAGGAGCGCGAGCAAGAAAGAGAGCGAGAATTGGAGAGGAACGGCAGAGCTAACCATCCCGCAGGTCAAGATAATGGGTCTGGCAATGGTACTGGGAATGAAGGGTAAGTGTACTTTGCAGAAACTGCCTGTATCCATAAATTGATGTTATCTGTGCTCTCAAATTCACGACAGTCATTTAACTTGTTTTCTCTTGTTTTGCCTGTGTTAGTTCAACAACTGAACCCATGGATGTCGACCCTCACACTGAATCTGCTGCTGCTGATAACTCTTCCGAAAGGTTCTGCCTAGTAGCACCAACCCAAGTTGCTCTTCTTTTTTCTAGTTTGTTTAATTCACATCTGGTTCAATTGTGTCTAATGCCAATTCAATTTCTTTATTCCTTCTGCACCAGCAGGTTAAAAGCACTTACTGATGTTTTAAATCAAGTACGTACAGTACAGCGCTCCGACAGCATATCTGTTGAGGCCTTAGAGAATGCTGTCAATGACGGAGCAAGTGTTCCTTACTCAAGTACAGAGATAACCTTCCTATTAGAGGTAAATTTTCATTAAATTCACGGAAGACATACTGGACGAGCATCTTGCAATCTCTGTACCAAAATCATTGACTTTTTAGTTCTTCCTATTATTATTTTTCGAGCTAGTATTTTTGCGGAAGGATAAGCATTAACTCACGAACTTGATTATGTTCAGGAACTCCGAAAGAGAAACATAGTGATGGTAGATGGTGGAACAGTGTTCATAATATCATGAGTTGGTAAAGGATCACCTGCAATATGTAATGCTAGGAATGTATGTTGCTGAGATGGATTTGCATCACTTCCAAGTCTTGAATTCCAGGGAGAGCAAAATTTGGCAACAGATTTGACCCGTTGCGCATCTCTGGAGGGGAATACTGATTTAACCTTCTGTGTTGGCCTCGTGTATCTTGTTGTCTGTAGTTCTTAGACCTTGAATTAAGAATCTGGTTTTTATTAATGTAATCTGTTTTTATTTGCATAATTTTTATTTTTTTAATTTTTTTATGGATGTTGGATAATCTATTGCATAATATTCATGAGCTGATGGGATACTAAACAAGTGAGGGCGATGGCCACATTAGCGCAACGAGCATTGAATAACACTACAAATCAAACACCTTACATTAGCGCAACGAAATCAAGTGGAGTGCCATCGGGAAAAAGAAGATTTTTGTGGCAGGTGCTACTGGAAGTACCGGCAGAAGAATCGTTGAGCACCTACTGGCTAAAGGTTTTCGGGTTAAAGCTGGAGTTCGAGACCTGGACAAAGCGAAAACTAGCCTTCCCCAAGACAACCCAGCTCTTGAAATCGTGAGTTTCTTCAAATATTTCAAGTGCAGGCCTCATGCTAGAAACTCAATCGGGTCTCTGCTGTTTTTGGGAATGCTTAATGTATGGGGTTTTGGATGAAAGAATGACTTGCATTTTTTTTTGTAGGTGAAAGCAGACGTGACAGAGGGTTCTGCGAAGCTAGCAGATGCGATAAGCAATGATTCAGAAGCTGTGATATGTGCCACGGGATGTCGCCCTGGATGGAATTTGTATGCTCCTTGGAAGGTCACTTGGATTCTCTATTTATGCAGTCGACCTTTATCTCCATTCTGCTTATGAAGCAAAATCTTTACGTTGCGCATACTTGGTTTTCCACTGATTTATGAACGCATAACATTAGCCGGCGTTCTGAAAGAGGTAAATTCACTGCAGGTTGATAATTTGGGCACAATCAACCTTGTAGAGGCATGCCGGAAACTTGGTGTGACTAGGTTTATCCTTGTGAGTTCCATTTTAGTCAATGGAGCAGCAATGGGCCAGATTCTCAATCCGGCTTACATCTATCTTAATGTTTTTGGACTCGCCTTGATAGCAAAGCTTCGCGCAGAACAATATGTTAGGGAGTCGGGCATAAACTATACGATAATCAGGCCTGGCGGGTTGAGAGACGAGCCTCCAACTGGAAATCTTGTGATGGAGTCAGCGGTATGTTAACATAATTTTCATCAGCCTTTATGTTCTTTCTCATTTAGTCTTGTTTCCGTACTAAAACCTTAGTCGTTGCTTCAAATTCTATGTTCTATCTCTGCTCTCTCTTGGTATAGGACACTCTTTATCAAGGCACAATCTCAAGAGATCAGGTTGCAGAAGTAGCAGTTGCGGCACTAATCCGCCCTGAAGCATCTTACAAGGTTGTAGAAATAGTTTCGCCGCCTGACGCCCCCAGCGTTCATGTGGCGAACTTTTTAGTTCAATCGCTCGCCGGTGACCTCTGATCAGTTTGGTTCCACAGAAGTTTTAGTTTAGAAGCCTTCTGATTCTGAGATTGCAGATAGCATGCTTGATCAAAATTAATGCAGATATGTTATGATGACCCTATTACTCATGTCCTTATATTTCTTAAGGCTCTCCGTAATATCTTCAATGATCAGAACGGTCTACATTTTAGCACCTCATTCAAAGATCATCCTTGCAAAAAAAATCATCCAAATCTGAACATGTTCGGTCCTCTTAAACGAGCATAAAAACCATGGTTCGTTAGATAAAATTGAAATGAAATTACGAACAATTGAATGGCTAAAAAAATGTTGATTTATTCGATTCTTTGCATCGGTAATGCTTGAATGAAAATCTTTCAACTAAACGATTTCGATCGTCAAACAACACCCTAGAAATAGAAATAGGATGAAGTTAAGGACATCCTCAACTTAAATCCTTAACTTGCACAACTAAAATTCAAATCGTCTTTATAAACATACCTAAAAAAAGAACAGACGTCCATAGCCAACTCAATAAGAAGCGAAATTTTTTATTATGATTGTAACACGATTGGTACACTATGTGTTTTTATACAAGTGATGCAAAATTTTATATTTTAAGTTATTAATTTTTTAACACACATATCTTACCATTTGTATAATGACATATAGTGTATCATCCTGTGTTTCCGTCGCAGCAGTGAAAAATATCTCCAGTAAGAAGGCAAAAGAAAAACCCCAATAAAGGGAGGAAAGGGGCCCTAGAAACACTGATGTGGAAGCTGCCCACCCAGAGTCGCACACAGCAAATGGGAAGCCAAGACAGGACAGGGTCTCGCTGTTGGTTGGACTTGGAGGACAAGAAATAAGTAGAAGTTTCAAGGGAGCAAGATAAAGCAAATGGCAACTCCTCTGCCTCTCCTTCTCAGAAACCCTCCTCACCGTCTCTGCACTCACCGCCTCCTCCCTCCTCTTTCCACCACCACCATCAAACCCTTCTCTCTGGTTTCCTTCTCCTCCTCCAACACCAGGTCCTTTCCCATCCTAAAGTCCGCTCAGGTCTCCCTCTCTCTCTCTCTCTCTCCCCAATGCCATTAATGTTAGTTTTTAACTATTAACATGTCAATCTCTGGTTTAGATGGAAGGGGGTGAAATTACAGAGGAAGTTACAGAGATAAGTTCAACTGAGACCAATGTGATTGGGAAGAAGAAAATATTTGTGGCTGGTGCCACTGGAAATACTGGTAAAAGAATTGTTGAGCAGCTGCTGGCCAAGGGTTTCTCAGTTAAAGCCGGAGTTCGGAACTTGGAGAAAGCGAAAGCTAGCCTTCCCTCAGACAACCCAGCTCTTCAAATTGTGAGTTTCTTCAGAATTTCAAGTGCTGGTATTGATTCATGCTGGGAACTCAATTGGGTTTTTCGTTTTGTGTTTTTTTTTTTGGAGAATGTTTAATTTTTTCGGGTCCTCGATGAAACGATTTCTTGCGAATGTTCAGGTGAAGGCAGATGTGACAGATGGTTCTGCTAAGTTAGCAGAAGTGATAAGTGATGATTCAGAAGCTGTGATTTGTGCCACTGGATTTAGCTACGGATGGGATGTGTTTGCTCCATGGAAGGTCACCTTGATTCTTTTATCTGTGCAATTAACATCTATTTCTATTACTTTGTGAAGCAACTTGTTGAAAAAATGTAAACTTCCCACATCAGAAACCTGGCAAACGAAAAATAGACTATATATTAACGAGTGGTTCAGCTAATTGCATCGAGGCCTTTTGTATAAAACCCTATGCCTGCTAGACTGTGCAAGTGATTGAGTTGGGGATGGTATCGGCGTTGATCAGTAGTCCATCTTTCTGTAATCTTAATACTACTTCTATCTTTGTGTAGTCCACCGTTGATTTTCGATTGGTGTTTGATTAAGTTAAATCTTTAAGTAGTTTCTTGTTTGAGTTTTACTTTAGCAAATGAGTGATGCTTCAAATTCATGCCTTTAAAATCCTGAGTTTTAGCCTTTGGCTAGTAATGTAAAGAACTATCATTATTCGAACATCGAGTGGGAAATGAATTCATACTTTTTCTTGGCTTCAGTACATAATGCAACTCGAATGGCACGAAATATTTGATGGTTCTGTATATGCACACTAGAAAGCGGCTAGCCCCGTGTTCTGCTATCTGAAATAAGATAATTTTAGTCCAGGTTGTAATGGAAAGAACATTCGTTATTCGAACATGTTTTGATGTCTGAAAATGGTTTATTTTAGTGCAGGTTGATAATTTTGGCACAGTAAACCTTGTTGAAGCATGCCGTAAACTTGGTGTGAACCGGTTTATTCTTGTGAGTTCCATCTTGGTCAATGGAGCAGCAATGGGGCAGATTCTCAACCCAGCTTACATCTTCCTCAATGTTTTTGGGCTCACCTTAATAGCAAAGCTTCAGGCAGAGAATTATATCAGGAAGTCTGGCATAAACTACACGATTATAAGGCCCGGTGGGTTGAGAAACGACCCTCCAACCGGAAATCTTGTAATGGAGCCAGAGGTAACACAATTTTTGTCACACTTTGAGAACTCTCCCCATTTAATCTTGTTAAGTACGAAAACCCGAGCTGCCTTAACGTGATGTTGCCTATGATCCCTCTTGATAGGACACTCTTTCGGAAGGCAGCATCTCTAGAGACCTGGTTGCAGAAGTGGCTGTAGAGGCATTACGGAATCCTGAAGCGTCTTACAAGGTTGTGGAGATAGTTTCGCGGCCTGATGCCCCTAAGCGTTCTTATGAGGATCTTTTCGGTTCCATCAAGCAACGGTGATCTTTCACTCACTCAGTTTCATTCCGGAACCAGATTACTATGTTGCTTTGCCTATATTTGGTTATATGAAAGAATTGAAACTAAATTATGAAGAATTCTCTTGATTTCTTGAAACCAAATTTAATTAATCATAAGAAATTGAACATCACTTCCAAAAGAAAATAAGCAAGGAAAAAAACATGATGGGGAACTTAAATGAACAAGTTTAAAACAAGAAGGCCAGCAAAGAAGCCATGGCTCCTAGTGCAGCAGCAGGAACACCTAGAGCAGCTGCGGCGCTCTCCATCGGTGCAGGTGCAGGAACACCAACATCTTCAGCAGCTCCGAGCGACGCGAAGCTCACAAGAACAATCATGCAGATGGTGAAAACCATGGCCATTTTGCACCCCTCCATATTTTCTTCTTCTTCTGATACTAATTCTCAAGTCACAAGTGGAAGAAGTGTGCTAATGCTTTTGGTTTGAGGAAAATGAGGAAGCTTAAGTGGGTTTTATAGGTAGGGGATTAAGGAGCTGAGCAAATGGGAGCTTCACACCTGTCAAATTATGTTACTTTAACCGCAAACAAAATGATTTGGGAGTGGTGTGGCCTGTGTTTAAAATTGCAAGGTTAGGAGAATATAATCTCTTTACAGGCAATTACTTGGAATATTTGAATCATTTTTAGTGGCATGCATGTGAGCTTTCGAGGTTTGTGGGCAATGTGCTGTCCACGAATTATTGAATATTGAGGTCATTGGATTGCTCTACACATTGGGCCTTTCAAAATTGAAGCTCACAATGGAAGATAGAAGTTGGACCCTTCAAATTTGAGACCCACATAATGGAGAGGAGAGAAACATAACTCATCCAGAGAAACAAGTTACGCATTTTTGTAATAGTGCGTGATTGGTTTAGAATATTATTAAAGATATTAAATTCTTTTTTAGCACAAACACAAATGCTCTCATCATGCGTCAAGCAGTGGCGGATTTAGAGCGGGAAGCATGCAAAAAAATTTTAGTTTATTCACTCAGGTATTCTTTGAATATTTAGTTAGCTTGTTGTCGTCAGCCAAACGATGTTGCGCACATATCAACAAATTTCAACAAAATGTTGAGCAATCTGATGAGTAATATCGAGAGAATTTATATCGAGCATTGTCAACCCAATACGTTATGCCTATCAAATACTTGGTAGGCATAAAAAGAACTCGTACTAAACATTAAAAATATCTTTAACCTTCACATGTATATTTTTCAAACTTCGAATAATCCTGGACCACTTCAATTTCAATGTACATCCTTTGGCGTTTATTAAACGGATAATTTTGTTTTAACGTGTCAAATATTTATTAAAAATAACGCCAATGTAACTACAAATTAATTGCAAGAGGAGTCTCTCCACTCCCTCTCTCATCTCTCTCAACTTGATTAGAAATTTAGAACAGAAATGAGTAAGGTGCCGAAATATCTGCGAGCGGTGCCGGCGGCGACGACGAAGTTCCGAGAAATAGAAGTGCTGATAATCTCGGCGCAGGACCTGAAGAACGTGAAGCACGTGACGCAAGTGAGGGCGTACGCGGTGGTGTACGTGGAGAAGGACTACCACGCGGCCAGGACGAGCGTGGACGAGCACGGCGGGACCAACCCCATGTGGAACGAGGTCGTCAAAGTGAAGTTCCGGGAAGACTTGCTGGAGAACGACGTGCTGGCAGCGCTGAACGTTGATATCTACGCGCACGGGCTCGTGAGGGAGAAGCCGGTGGGGAGCGCGCGGGTGCTGCTGTGCGACGTTTTGAAGGGCGGGGACGCACGGGAGCCGGCGGATAATCCGATACAGTGCATGACGGTGCAGGTGTGGAGGCCGTCGGGTAGGCCCCACGGGCTGCTGAACCTGTGGGTGCCGCCGACGGGGAGGTTCTTGATAAGGAGGGAGTCTTTGTCGTTTAGTGTGAGAGAGGAGGCGGAGGAGGACGAGACAGTGGTGGCGGTGAAAGGTGGCGACGAGGCATAGGTTTTGAACTTTCGATGTGTCACTTGTATAAAAGTGTATGTGACACGTAGAGCAAATGTTTATGTTTTTCGTGCATGCAATGGACTAGTACTTGTTTGGATCACTCTCACCATATTAGGGAGGTGATTAGTAAGTAAATGTGGTTTAAATAGTTTTATCTTTTCTTAGTTACGTACATTTAATTACTTTACAATTAATTACTTTCTTTGTTTTATGGAATAAATGTGGTTCAAATAACATTATTTTTTTTAAGACTCTGATTAGTAGGTTGCATGAAATTGGAAAGATGTGTTGGTGCCATTATAACATTATAACATGTGTTGGTCGTGTCATGTTTGTGTTTGTTTTCACGTATTACAATATGAATGGATGATTAAGCTATTTTTCAATGAAAGTATTTAGAAATACGTGATTCATAATAAATTTTTGACAATTAGGTTATTCTTCAATAAAAGTTTTAAGAAATACGCAATTCACAATAATTTTTAAGTTATTTTTAAAGGAAAACTAATGAAAATGATTTGAAAAATTTGAGTTTTAATGATAAAGACAAAATAAAGGGTAAAATGAATAAATGTGGTTCAAATAACATTATTATTTTTAAGACTCTAATTAGTAGGTTGTATGAAATTGGAAAGATTGTTAGAACAATGTCATCCGATGTTTGTTTTGTTCATACATTATAACATGTGTTGGTCGTGTCATGTTGTGTTTGTTTTCACATATTACAACATGAATGGATGATTAAGCTATTTTTCAATGAAAGTATTAAGAAATACGTGATTCCCAATAATTTTTTGACGATTAGGTTATTCTTCAATAAAAGTATTAAGAAATACGCAATTCACAATCATTTTAAAGTTATTTTTAAAGGAAAACTAATGAAAAGGGTTTAAAAACTTTGAGTTTTAACGATAAAGATAAAATAATGGCCAAGTTACGAAGTGATAAATCACTAGGACAAACCACAAACATCAACAAGCGACTCTGTGGCCCAATGGATAAGGCGCTGGTCTACGAAACCAGAGATTCTGGGTTCGATCCCCAGCAGAGTCGTCGTCGTCCTTTCTTTTTTTATTTTTTTGTTATTTTAAATGCAATGCATTTGAAATAAAATAAAGTAAAGAGATCTCAAAACAATATGTCAGGATGGCCGAGTGGTCTAAGGCGCCAGACTCAAGTTCTGGTCTTCGAAAGAGGGCGTGGGTTCAAATCCCACTTCTGACATTATACGACAATTATCTTCTTTTTGTAATTTTGTTTTGTATTTATAGCTCTCTTTTTTAATCCAATTTTGCAATTTTCATGTCTAGTTCACCCTTTAAAAGTCAAAACTAGGGAATATCTTGTAATTCTTTTTATACGACAATAATTTAACGGGATTAGGCTCAGTCACATAATGAGATATTGAGAATTTAATATTGGATAGCTACACAATAGTGCTGGCGGCTTTCTCCTTACATGGTCTTCCATTTACAACAACAACAACAACAACAACAACAAGGCCTTTTCCCACTAAGTGGGGTCGGCTATATGAATCCTAGAACGCCATTGCGCTCGGTTTTGTGTCATGTCCTCCGTTATATCCAAGTACTCTAAGTCTTTTCTTAGGGTCTCTTCCAAAGTTTTCCTAGGTCTTCCTCTACCCCTTCGGCCCTGAACCTCTGTCCCGTGGTCAAATCTTCGAACCGGAGCGTCAGTAGGCCTTCTTTGCATATGTCCAAACCACCGTAACCGATTTTCTCTCCTCTTTCCTTCAATTTCGGCTACTCCTACTTTACCTCGGATATCCTCATTCCTAATCTTATCTTTTCTCGTGTGCCCACACATCCAACGAAGCATCCTCATCTCCACTACACCTACGTGTTGATGCTTCACCGTCCAACATTTTATGCCATACAACATTGCCGGCCTTATTGCCGTCCTATAAAATTTTCCTTTGGGCTTCAGTGGCCTACGACGGTCACACAACACGCCAGATGCACTCTTCCACTTCATCAATCCAGCTTGTATTCTATGGGTGAGATCTCCATCAAATTCTCCGTTCTTTTGCAAGATAGATCATAGGTAGCGAAAACGGTCGCTCTTTGGTATTTCCTGATCTCCGATCCTCACCCCTAACTCATTTTGGCCTCCGTTTGCACTGAACTTGCACTCCATATATTCTGTCTTTGATCGGCTTAGGCGAGGACCTTTAGATTCCAACACTTTTCTCCAAAGGTTAAGCTTCGCGCTTACCCCTTCCTGCGTTTCATCTATCAACACTATATCGTTTGCGAAAAACATACACCAAAGAATATCATCTTAAATATTAAGTTTGTGATCTTCGCTAGATTGCTTCGGTTATTAGTGTGGATAAGTATGTAAATGGATAGAGATAGGAAGCAAACACAAGATGTACGTGGTTCACCCAGATTGGCTACGTCCACGGAGTAAAGGAGTTCTCATTAATTGTGAAGGGTTTACACAGTATATAGGTTCAAGCTCTCCTTTAGTGAGTACAAGTGAATGATTTAGTACAAATGACATTAGGAAATATTGTGGAAGAATGATCTCGTAATCACGAAACTTTTAAGTACCGAAGTGTGGTATCGTCTTCACTTGCCTTATCTGTCTCATAGGTAGATGTGGCATCTTCTTTGGAAGTACTCTTCCTCCCTCCAGGGGTGGTATCTTTAACTGGTGGAGATGCACAAGGTAATGTATCAATTTCACTTGACGCTTACTTGTAGTTTCAGGCTTGGTCAAGCGCGATACAAACCATGTAGTAGGAGTCCCCAAGTCGCCGAGCTAGGGGATCTGCTGAAAGAGGTGACAGACAAGGTAAGCAATCAGAGCTCCAAGCAATCAGTCTCAGATCAGAAGTTTGATTTCGAGTTCCGGCGGATTGTTATCATTCTCCTTATCTTGCAGGTAGCATGAAGGATAAAGAGAAAAGAAAAGGAGAAAATGTGATATGAGATACTTTTGCTTTTGAAGAAGTAACTTTCCACAGGCTTATTCTTGAACTGGGCTGGAGGGTTTTCTTGTTTCCCGCAGAGTATAAGGCCGCCTGAAGAATTTTAGGGTCAAAACAAGTCCATCAAATCTAGAGTACGTTCGACCCTGCTGATATGGGATACTTTTGCTGTTGACAAAGTAGTGGATGTATCGGCACATGTTCTGTTGCGCTTGTCTCCACATGCTTCCTTGTATCCTTCTCACTTGCCCTATTTGTTCCTCAGGCAGATGTGGTATCTTCTCGGGAAGCATAAGATGTTGAAGATGAGTACTCGAGAGCAATGGGGGTTCCTAGGCAGTCAGTTCCGGACTGGAAGCTTGATTCCAAGTGCTGACTGATTGCTCTCTTTCTCCTTGTCTTGCAGGTAAGAATAAGGCCAAAGGAAAAGACAGGGAAAAAGCATGATATGAGATACTCTTGCTTTTAACCCTGATGATATGAGATATTCTTGCTCTAGTGTAGCTTGTTTGCAGAGGTATTCTCGGGGGGAAAGAAAGCTGAGTATTTCGAGAGGCTTCGTTGGGAGTGCCCTCTCAGATATGAGGAAGGGTTGAGCATTTTTGCAGGTCTGCCTGTCCGTTGAGAATGGAGGTCGACATATATAGAAGTCTCCCTAACAACAAGGAGTAATACTATTCTTTTACCCTGCTTGGTCATAGCACGGTAGTGGGAGCTGCCAGCTTCACATGTTTTAACTCTGTCAGAGCACTTTGAAAAAGTGGTCTGTGGTATCTGGAAAGCTGATGTTACGTGTGAAGATTACAGACAAGCTTTATCCAAGGAGATCTGGCTCTCGAAGTTGAGAAAGCGGTGCCTCTTCGGTTTTCGAACAAGCAATCCTGTCGGGGATCTGTTTCTCGAGATTCGGAGAACGGTGCCTCTTCGATTTTTGAGAAAGCAATCCTGCTAGGAGTCTGGCTCTCGAGATTCGGAGAGCGGTGTCTCGTCGCTTTTTGAGAAAGTAATCATGTTGGGAGTCTGGCTCTCGAGATTCGGAGGACGGTGCCTCTTCGATCTTGAAGTAAGCAATCTTGTTGGGAGTGTTTTCTTGAATGTGAGTAAAGGTTAGGCCTGTTTGCTAGTCTACCTTGCCACGGAGCACAGAGGTTGACCCACAGGGACTTTCCAATTATCTAGCAATGGTCATGTTCCTTTACCGTTGTGGGTAATAATATGGTAGCTAGACCTTCAAAATTTATGTGTCTAAACTTTATTAGTGCTGTTTCTTTGCTATTCTTTTACCCTTCTTGGTCATAGCGATGTAATGGGAGCTGCAAGCTTCACGTGTCTAAACTTTGTCAGAGATTTTTGGCAAAGTTATATGTGGTACCTGTGAGCTGATGTTGCGTGTGGAAAGTGAACGATTGAAAAGTAACATTCACGTGCTTTCTACTTCACTAGAAATCTTCGACATAATGCCTGTAATTTCCGCAAAGTTGAGTGTGCATGTGACAGGTGCTGACAAGGCTGAAAAAGCAGGTGCCTCTTCGATTTCTGAGATCGGCCCTCGTGGTCTCTGAGCAGCCCAGCTTTTGAGAAAGCAAGCGCCTCTTCGATTTCTGCGATCGACCTTCGTGGTCTTTGAGCATCCCAGCTTTTGAGAAAGCAAAACGCCTCTTTGATTCCTGATATCGGCCCTTGTGGTCTCTGAGCAGCCCAGCTTTTGAGAAAACAAACGTCTTTTCGATTTCTGAGCAGGCGCCTCTTCGATTTCTGAAGCTCCATCGAGTAGAAGCTCCAAAGCACACTTGAATCTCCACCAGTAGAAGCTCCATTCTTGCATTTCTAAGATCTTGATTTGTCCGACCTCTTTTCTCTTCAACACCTTTGAAAATGTCTGACCCTTCCGACCGTCGTTTTGACTTGAACCTTGTAGAAGAGGCAGCCACGCCTTCTCCAGACAACATATGGCGCACATCCTTCTTATCCCCTACTGGTCCTCTTACCGTTGGGGATTCCGTGATGAAGAATGATATGACCGCTGCGGTGGTGGCCAGGAACCTTCTCACTCCCAAAGATAACAGACTACTTTCCAAACGGTCTGATGAGTTGGCTGTTAAGGATTCTCTGGCTCTCAGTGTTCAGTGTGCAGGTTCTGTGTCTAATATGGCCCAACGTCTATTTGCTCGAACTCGCCAAGTTGAATCATTGGCGGCTGAAGTGATGAGTCTCAAACAGGAGATTAGAGGGCTCAAGCATGAGAATAAACAGTTGCACCGGCTTGCTCATGACTATGCTACAAACATGAAGAGGAAGCTTGACCAGATGAAGGAATCTGATGGTCAGATTTTACATGATTATCAGAGGTTTGTGGGTTTGTTCCAAAGGCCTTTATTGCCTTCGTCTTCTGGGGCTGTACCGCGTAATGAAGCTCCAAATGATCAACCTCCGATGCCTCCTCCTTCTAGGGTGCTGTCCAGTACTGAGGCTCTGAATGATCCCCCTCCGGTACCTTCTCTTTCTGGGGCTCTGCCGACTGCTGAGACTTCTCCTAAGCAATCTTTGTGAAGGCTCCCTCTTGTTTGTTTATTTTGACTCGTGTATATGTACATATTTGTAACTTCTTAGAGATATCGATAAATAAGCTTTGTTTCATTTCAACGTATTGTGTTAAATACACCAAAGCCTTCTTCACTAAGTTCTTTGAATTTTTCTTTTGTTGAAGCTTGTATGTTGAAGCTTTGTGAGTGGAGCATGTAAGTTGAGGTAGTGTTCCCTTAATTTCCCGAGTGGGGAAAACTTCTCGATTGGAGACTTGAAAAATCCAAGTCATTGAGTCGGGTCGGCTATATGAATCTTAGAACGCCATTGTGCTCGATCCTGTGTCATGTCCTCCGTTAGATCCAAGTACTCTAAGTCTTTTCTTAGAGTCTCTTCCAAAGTTTTCCTAGGTCTTCCTCTACCCCTTCGGCCCTGAACCTCTGTCCCGTAGTCGCATCTTCTAACCGGAGCGTCAGTAGGCCTTCTTTGCACATGTCCAAACCACCGTAACCAATTTTCTCTCAGTTTTCCTTCAATTTCGGCTACTCCTACTTTACCTCGGATATCCTCATTCCTAATCTTATCCTTTCTCGTGTGCCCACACATCCAACGAAGCATCCTCATCTCCGCTACACCCATTTTGTGTACGTGTTGGTGCTTCACCGCCCAACATTCTGTGCCATACAGCATCGCCGGCCTTATTGCCGTCCTATAAAATTTTCCCTTAAGCTTCAGTGGCATACGACGATCACAAAACACACCGGATTCACTCTTCCACTTCATCCATCCAGCTTGTATTCTATGGTTGAGATCTCCATCTAATTCTCCGTTCTTTTGCAAGATAGATCCTAGGTAGCGAAAACGATCGCTCTTTGGTATTTCCTGATCTCCGATCCTCACCCCTAACTCATTTTGGCCTCCATTTGTGTTTAACTGGACAAATTGATTTCTTCCTTTCGAAAGGGTGTTTGCAAGGCCAAGAAGGGGAAAGCATTGATAGAAGGTACATCACTACATCAAAGGTACAAATATATGAAGGAAAAAGACTAATAATTACAGTTTTTTGATTGCTCAAGCAGAATACATGTCAAATGGAGTCACTTGGTTGGCGTCAATCGGCTTAACATGTTTCTTTCCTTCGAAAATGAACCCTGAAGCGAACAGCAGGATTCGAGATGGCTATTGTGGTCATCATCGCCTACTGCTGTTCATTCTGTCTGTTCCTTATTACATGATGCTGTTTTAAGTCTCTCTAACTGTTTCCGTATATAAGCCTGTTTTAACTTCTCCCGACGAGCAGCTGCTTGCTCTTCCCTACGCAGTTTGAGCTTAGACGCCATCTCTCTTGCTTGATTTGCTTCTTCGTGTACTTCCCTGAAGAAAAGGAACACAAGACCAGAAATCATGAGATGTCTGTTGCCAGGAGCATAGAGATTTCAATCAAGCAATACATATCTGTGGCCAGGACGATGAAGGACTAGATTCAATCAATAAGTAACACCCCATGTAAATGGAGAAACTATACGAAAGAAGAGAATAAGAGAAACCTTAATCCAATCCAAACTATTTTTTCATTTATTGATGAAATAGATTCCTAGTTTTTGTGTCGAAAGCGTAGTTCTAAAACTACACTCTTTTATTCTTTTTATACTTTATTCAGCTCATTTCCGGCACTCAAGACATTGTACAGGACTTATGAAATCAGATGAAATTTAACAGAATAGATCGGCAGTCCCATATAGAGCAAATGAAAATTAAAAAACAGGAATGCACATCAAGAACGGTTCAAAGAGCTTAAGCAACTCATTCATAGCAGTTAGATTCGAGTTCTACTACCAACCCCCAGCCCAAATATGAGTCTCAGCTCAACTACTTCACCTTTGACGCTTAGAAGAGGAACAGCGGCAACACCAAATTACTGTGGCTAAACGTTAAGTATCCAGAGTTATATAGAATATGGTAACACTGAAAAAATAACAGTATAACACTAACAAAGGTTCACTCAAGCGACGAATGCTTTTTCATTATTCGATTATGTTTAGTTAACTCTAACTAAACTGTCTGTACGGCATATATACTTATAACTTAACACAGAAATAATTTGAAAATTTTACCTCACAAAACGCTTGTGAATATCATTGTCCACTGTCGCATCCGCTCGCCCAAGCCCCAAAGGTTTCGTGCTAAACAGCGTAGAAGCGTTGATCTCGCCATCTTGATTCTCCGGAGATACTACTGCAGGTGAATCACGGTGCTGAGTCTGCTGCGGTTCGTCCTGCTCAACTCTCTTGCCGAAAAAATCCACACAATACTTCTCTTTATCTTCTTCATCTGATAGCTCTCCCCTTGCTAGCTTATCGTACAATGCAGCCTTCCTTTCCAACGCTGCATAGCTCGCCGATCCATCATGAACTGCTTTCAGCTCAAGCTTGTCCCTGAATTTAAACCAGCAAAAAAACATAATTGGGTTTGATTTTAGCAGAAACCCAAATTAAAGCCTAGAGGTAATTGAACAGAAGTTGAAATGTCCAAAACAGAGAGCTCAAAAATCTCATCTTCTCACTAAAAAGAACCCAAAAACCCTAAATTTGTAATCAGATAACAACAGGAACCCTAAATTACCAAAAGAAACCCTAAATCTTAAATTACACTAACCCAACAAAACAGCTGATAATTAAGTAAATTGTAATTCAACCCAGAAAAAAAATTGGGAAAAAGGAAAGAAAAAGACGTACTTGTGGGCCCGGGCGTCGACGCCGGAGTTCTTGGCGGAGAAACCGTCGTGTGCGGTGATTCTCTTCTTGGCGCGATGGAACTCGATGTCGGAGCCGGCGAGTTCTTTAGACTTCTTGGATTCTTCTTGGGATTGATACAGTTGGGCCTTGAGCTCCATGATTGAGGAAGCTCCGACGCCGGCGATGGCGCGGTGCTTCTTCGGCATAATTGAAGACTCCGTCAGCCATCCGAGGGATTCCACCACCATCCTTCTCTTCTTTGGCTCCTCGTCCTCCGCCGCCATTTTTCCGTAGGATTGAAATTGTTGGTTGGTAACTGGAGATTTCTGGTTTCTTCTTCCTCTGTTCGAATTTAGGGAGTATATTCACTTGAGATTTTAAGGGATTTTAATTCTTTTAATGAATTTAGGGCTATTCAATCAGGATTTTAAGTAATTCTCTCAAATTTTAGGTGTATTCAATTAGAATTTTAAAATAGTTTATTAAAATCCTTAGAAATTCAGGTGTATTCAATTAAGATTTTAAAGAAGTTTATAACATTCAAGGTGTATTCAACTAGAAATTGATTTTAAAGAATTTGAGAAAGTTGAGGAATTAGAGGGAATTTGAGAGATTTCGTAGTGTATTTTAAGTATCCACAAATCTCATCTCTTCCTATGAGATTTTGAGGGAATTAAATCAAAATTTTATATGGAATCTCTACAAATCAATTAAACTCCATAAAAATTCATGAATTTATAAATCCATTAAAATCTCTCACATTCTCAATTAAATACACCCCTTAATTTCATCGGATTCGCGGAATTTCGCTTCTTCAGTCGGGTGGGTGGTAAATTGGTAATGGACTCCACCGCCACATTGTGGCCCGGCCCATTCGGGCCCATTCTTGTAATTTACCACTATTTTCTTTCTTTCTTTTTTACAGAACTATTTGCTGCAATTTACCAAACTAGATGTTTATCTCTGGTGTGTGGCTGTATTATTCATTGCCGGTTCCAAGCCCGAATAAAAGAAGAGGGGGAGGCGTCAAGCAGTCAATAGCCGGCAATCCGTTCTCACGTCGAATCCCTGTGAACCTAGTTTACAAAATAAAACCGATTCCAAAAATTTCGAAAACTTTGTACAATCTGAATATTCCGCAATTAGAAACAAAGTTTGATTCGAAATTTTTGGATTGGTATTGAAACCCTGTATTTTGATCCGATTAGTCCGAAAATCACCCCTGTTAGACATATGTAGCTCAATAAAGTGACTGCCTTGATCTTTTAGGACATACAACTCAACTGAGGTACATTGAAGCAAAGGAGCCTTCTTACTCCATTTATAACTGGACTGAAACGATGGAAGCAACGAAGTGTCAAACATCCACTTACGTGCAATAAAAGAGACATAAAATTGAAGTCACATTTATTCATCGAGGCTTCAACGTAGAGGGACAGACGAAACAAGGTACCAAACTTCATGGATGACGGATTCAGTGGCGCTTCTTCCCTGTTGCTACTTCCCAAGCCTGTAATATGTGGTTCACGATTTCCTCTACTCCTTTCCCGTGCTTCACCTGCACATACACGGTTCACAAGCATGTAAATCATGAACATAAAAATTCAATATCGTTCCTATAACAACAAATCATTTGAGAACCACCTTCCTGGCACAACGAAACATTGACAGGGATAATAGTGTCGAGGATATGTAGTAATCACAGATGATGTGATTTCCAAAACTGAGCAAACACAGGTTTTTGATTTCATGTGAACAAGCAAATTAGTGCATTTGTGCATCTCCAAGTTTTAAAAGCACAAATATCAAGCTCACACCATGTTTATAAACGCTAGTGAACCAAATGGATGGTACGACCAACCAACCTGAGCAAAGACAAATGGCCCTCCATCTCGCATTCGTAGTGCATCACGCTCCATCACTGCCAAATCAGCTCCAACTGCTGGTGCAAGGTCAGTCTTGTTTATCACCTGCAATCCAATGTTATTAAGTCATTCACACATCAATCCCTTATTATTTAATCAAAATATAGTCAACACAATTGATAGTAGATACTAGACAGAAATGGTATTCGGAACAACAGCAAAAAACGCATACCAGGAGGTCAGCTTGAGTGATGCCGGGGCCACCTTTTCGTGGAATTTTATCACCTCCAGATACATCGATTATGTAAATGATATAGTCAGCCAGCTCCCTGCTGAAGTTCGCGGCTAAATTATCTGCATCCACACAAATTAAATTGCATAGCGTTTCAGAAAATAAGTAGAAAACCTCAATTAGCCACTAGTCATCATTCACATACAAAATTCCTCCATTTCTGGAAACTTTACAATAAGCATTTCCATCCGAACTAAATTTTTGAAACATTTTCCGCTGATCAAGCTGAATTTTCTCAAATTAACACCAAACTCCAGATGGCTCCATAAAGTCATTTAATTTCACGCTTATTAGAACAATCTACCACCAGTCATTTGCAATAATCAAACTGAAACGATCAAGTCATTTGCAATAGTCTTCTACAACTGCTTTTGGAAAATACCTCCGCCAGATTCACAAAGCAGTATGTCGGTCTTGTACAAGTTTGAAAGCTCCTCAAGAGGGCCAAGGTTAATACTGATGTCTTCGCGAATTGCAGCATGTGGGCAGCCCCCAGTTTCCACAGCACGTATTCTTTCTTCCGGAAGTGCTCCATTCTTCACCAAGAACTCACCATCCTCTTTTGTGAATATATCATTTGTCACCTGCAATTGTTACGCTTATTATCTTTACCCTTTCCTCAATCGACTTGAAGCACCGGCGTTAAAGGTCTTCACAGACACTAACAACTACTATGCGAAACTGCAATACAGTTTTGTGAAAAGGTAAAGACACAAAAGCTTAAATATTCGAAACTGTTCCTACTTACAGCAGCAAGACTGTACTTGTCACGCAAAAGTTTACACAGAGCCAACATCAGAGCAGTTTTCCTGCATGACATGAAGCAGAATTTCATCAACTCTCATTGAACCGGACGATTTGCTCTAGCAAATTAGTATTCACAAGAATCACAACTAAGAATTTATAAATTTATAAATTGCCATGCTGCAAAATGAGGATAATTTGATATTGCTGGTGGGTGCTACACTGTCCAAGCAACTAAACAATTTCCAGGGAGAATCTGGGGAAACCAATACAAACCCACCTTGCTGAATTGATGAAAACTGCACAAAACATACGAGTCTAAAAAAAAAGAAGAGATTAGACAATCCCTCCTAACCGAGAGTGATTTCTGCACTCCCTTCACTATATCGCTTGATTTTCCTTTGATTTATTCAATCGGGAGTGCAAAAGGTGAAAAAGAAGTGCGGAAATCACAACCATAGACTCAAAAATCCAGAAGCAGAATTAGAATAAAAATAAAGTGTTAATCTTTAGATCAATTCTAGTCTATTAAGCTAATGATGCAGTTGATAAATTTGAAATTGTTTTCAATATTTCAAAACATTAAAAATAAATAAATTAAAGGCAAAAATTACCCAGCTTACCCGGTACCAACAGGTCCACCAATGCCAATGGTGAAAGCCCTTTCATTGAAATTCCTGGAGAGGAGAGGTGGAGCTCTTCTGCTGAAGTACCCGGGGGAGTATATGGGTTCGTGTGAGTGTGGTGCCAGCCCATCGTGGCTATGGTACACCTTCCCATCTGGGCCCACAAATGAATTTGGTGTTGCTGAACTCAAATGGCTATGACCATGATCATGATCATGATGGTGGTGATGGTCATGGTGGTGGTCAGCCATTGATCACTAGAGTATGTGGAGTTCTACAGTGGGTCAAAAGGGAGAAGGCAGAAGAATGGGGAAATCTGGGTTGGTTTGGGTGGGCGCACACGGTACAGGATAAACTAGAAATTTAATTTACCAAAACACCCTTAGTTAATATTCAAAATTGCTAAACATAAATTGCATTTAGCCACTTATTACTACGGTCTAGTGATATTCCTCCTTATATGTAAGTAAGAGGTCTTAAATTCGACTTTCGTCAAAGGAAAATTTGAATCACATTATGAGGCTAAGCCTACCCTTTCTTCTTTAGTTTAAATAATATTGTTTCTTTAAAAAAAAAATTACATTTTACCACCTTAACTTTTAAGTCACATAAGGAACTTAGTCAATTTGTCTCTGAAAGAGCAATATTTTCCTTTGTAGTATTGGTGGTTGTATAACTACGAACACCCTTAGTTAATGTTTAAATTTTTGTAACCCGATGATCATATTAAAAATAAAATTACATTAGTGTGAACGTAACCCAACTTTAAATGAACTGTAATACGTTCTTGTGTTCTTATTGTGTCGTTTTGATGGTCAAATATCCAACTTTACACACGATGATACATCAACAGTGTACAGCAATTGAGACACTCCTCAGAATTTCCTTCTTATTGGTGTTCATAAATATGTATACAAATTAATATGTATATGACATTCTGAGTGCCCTCTCCATCATCGACTTTTTAATGCATGCACTCCATCACTGTCCTGTTAAAAATCACCCACAGTTGCACAAAGTGCATGCATAAAAAAAAGAAAAAAAATTAAACAAATGAGCACTCACAAACAAAAGCAGAATAGATAAACAAAACCTATATATGTTGTAGTTCAGTCAAACAAGTTCTTGAGTGCATTGACTTTGCCACATGGCTGCTGATCTGGCAACAAGTCCCTTTGAATTTGCTGCTGCCTCTGAGCAGTTTCTTCATCTTGTTGCCTGATTGTGATCGGCTGTTCAAGATTGCTAATCACTCCTTGCTTTTGTATGTAATCTCTTTTGTCTTGGAAGAGATAACAGGCAGCAATGAAGGAGACCTCAGCTGTGAAAAGAATAGTCCAAAGTCCTGAGCTTCTCTGTGTTCTCTTATGGTAGGCTTCTAATCCAGTGTAGATGTTGATTATCCCAAACAATGATATCATTGTCCCAAGCATCCAATGTGCCAAGTACCAAAAACTCCATTCTTTCTTTCCCCTATAAGAAACAAAAACTCTCATTCAAATCTAATACTAATTAACGACGGATCAATATTCTAACAGTTCGGTGCGTGGCTTTAAAAAATTTGACAAAAGCAACTTTTTAGAGTTATAAATCATTACACTGTTGGCTCCTCCTTCTGTTTAGAAAACAAAGGTTAACTTGACTGTTAGACTGAAGGAAGGGCCGGCCAATGGTGTAAAAATTCACAACTTTAGGGTTATTTTTGTCTATTTATAATAGATGTGGACCGAACTTTCCCTTACTTAACTGTTACCTGTGTGGCCTGAAAAATCCTATTAGGGTTTGTATCCATATGGAACCATAAAGTGCAAGACCTAATCTCTGGTGGTGGTTGTTGAATGAGTTCTCAAAGTTTCTTAGGGACATCACAGCTCCAGCTGTGGCAACAAGCACTGACAGCATCTGTGTATACATCGAAGTTCAATCAGAAGCCACCATATACAATAACAGTTGTATTTAACATGCCTAAATTATTACGTCGACGGAGCAATTATGCCAGTATATGGAGTACGTAGCAGACAGTGATGATCTGCAATCTACTTTTATATACAAAAATAGGAATGATTATGGTGAGTTTAGTTTGCAAAGTTAATCAAAATAAGTATACAAAGATTGATTAGTGTAGGATCTTACTGAGTTGGAGGAGACAAATTCATGAGTTTAAGCAGAAAGAGAGAAACTTGCTATGTATTCTTGCTGTTCAAGTAATCATATAGGACGACAAATATGGTTGCAGTATTTTTTCAACCTTAAAGTAATTAAAAAGGTGGTGCAGATAGGTTTATAAACAAAAAAGAAACAGTGGACAGCATGATTAAAGTTAAAGTGGCTTATCATGATTACTGAGAAGAAAGATCAAAACTTGAAAGATTACTGATGTTTAAAGATCAAAACTTGAAAGATTACTGATGTGTTTAACTCAATGATCATAATTAATCCAGTTAATGAAATGGTAATTGGATAATCAGTGTTCTTAGTTCTAATTAGATAATTTTCGGAAAACAGCTCGAAATGGAAGAAAGAAAGATGAGAAGAAATTAAGAAGAGCTTGCCTGCAAAATAACATGGAGGTAGAAGAGAACTTTGGCTCTTGTTGTCCCACGTTCCTCTCTAACAGACATTCTAATTACAAGTATTCCAAGAGGCATCAAAAACCCAATTGAAAACCATGCGAGGAGGCCGTGAACTGTAACGTTAGACGTCATTCGTGGACTCAGCTGCAAACACAACAATCCGAGAAGGGGAATAAGAAGAAATTCATCCGAAAAGCCGGAAGAAAAAAAAAAAGCAAAACCGATTTAAAAACACTATACCTTGTGAATGTTTTCTTTTATGTTATTGTGACTGCTGTGTTGGTTGACATCTTCATGAAATGAGCAGCCAACTAATGGAAGAAGAAGAAGAAGATAATATGTAGTTATAGCAAAAGACGCTAGTTTGAGAGAAGTTTGCATTCTTCAATATCTGACTGAATTACAAGGCCAAGGGAAAAGAAGAATCAAAGCCTTCACCCTCTCCCTCCCTCCCTCTCTCTCTCTCTCTCTCTCTCTCTCTCTCTCTCTCTCTCTACAGATTTCAGATTTTCATCATTTTGTGTAGACACTTTTAGGATGTGTTGTATATAGTTAATCTGATTTGGATGGGTTTTGGGATAATTTGGAGAAGGAAAAGTTGAATATATGTGTAACTTTTCAAGGCTGGTTTTGCTTTAGACAATGTGGTGATCCATAAGTGAGTAGAAAAAGGAAAATTTTAGTAAACTAGAAGTTTTATATATGAAAAACACTTTGGAGAGTTTAATTGGAAAAGGAAAACCTCTGAGCAAATCACTTGTCATGTTCTAATTTATTCTTAATTTTGAAATTGCATTAGTGCTTTTTCTCCATTGAAAAGTATTTTATTAAGGTACAAAGCTCCAAATTTTTTTCTGAAATGTAATGTTATCATGGATCCATGGACATGAAAACCCTAAAAAAAAATTGATTTTTTTTATTCAAAATGATTACTGAGATTCACATAACTTCTCACTTTGGCCATTAAGATTGAAAATCGATAGAAATGGTCCCTGAGTTTGCCTACCGTCAATCATTTTAATAATTCTGTGGAAAACCTCCATAAAATTGAGGGTATTTTTGTTCAATCAATCCCTCTTCTTGCTTTTCCATTTACCATTTGTGTAGCTTATTGGATTTGTAGCCTGGGGCGATTCATGGACGGTAGTTGGTGTGAGAGAGAAGATATGGATAAAAAATTGGAAACAAAAGAAGGGGAATGATATGAGTGTTAGGTGGGTAGTATCAAAAACTTTAACCAAAGTTGAAAGTGGAGGTTGAAATTGCCGTGATTTTTGGTCTTTATACACAAATGAGTGACGCCAAATCACAAAAAAGGTGTTAAGAAAACCAAACTTTAGATATGACAATCTAGCTAACTCATATTTAGCTTTCTAGCTTGCTCTTTAGCTTCACGTGTATGTTTGTATAGTGCATCTTTCATTCTTATTGCGGTTTATTTGAATTTTAAACAGGACAAAGACTTGTATATATCTATTTTTCTTAAGCGAGTCTCTCACAATTGTTATATTAAATGAGCGAAATATGAGATTAAATTTAAGACATCGACTCGTGTTATGAAACAGGCGTAGGCAAGTTTTTTCTCAAATTTTTGCAGTTTCTTTTGATTGAGACAGTCGTTGAAAAGCAAAAGTGATTCTGAGAGTAAACACAAAATTTCATTAATTGGTATTGTTTGTTTGTCTTTTACAGAAAAAAAACATCTTTTTGATAAATATGTGTAAATCTGCTTTTGTTTTCTACTGTTTTGAACCTATGATTTAGAATTTTTTTTTTTTTTTATTTCGTTTACCAAACTTAACTATGGTGTCAACTTTTATAAAAAGTTGCTTTTAAAAACTTAAGCAACCCAAAACATTACTCCCAAAAGTGATTATATTCCCTCGGTAATCACTTCCAGACGGGCTCAAAGTCATGGTTAAAATGTAAGAGCGGCTAGTACTTAAGATATCACATAATTCTGATCGAAGTTGGAATATCTGGTATGGTTTAGCAAGGGTTTTAATAAAGAACATTACTAAACCATAACTTAAGAAACCTTAAAACCACCGTGTTTCGACAGGCATCCACCCCAGCAGTAACATCGAGCGACAAACAACCGGTGAGACAGCAAAATAATCGATATCGAGAACATAACAAAAACAATCGATATCAAATTTTGAAGCAAATAGCCGAAAAACAGCAACCGAATTACATAAACAAGTTGGGCCTTGACGCCTTGTACGTAGTCTTCAACTTCCTGGATGGTGGTCTAACCTTCCTGAACACCAACGGGAACTTGATCTTGGAGTTGTGGAATTGCTTGGTGCTTTCCCTCTTGCAAAGCTTAGCGGGGATGGTGGCGGTCTTGATGATCTGGATACAAGGAAACCTGACCCTGTGGCGAGATGCCATCTCGATGTACATCTGCTCCACCGCACCATTTAGCGTGGTGTCGCGGTATTCCTTGTACATGTTGTGGTAGCCCGTCCTGCTTTGATACCGCAACCAGATACCGTAGTTCTTGATGGTTGTCGGGTTCTTCTCAAAGATCTGCAACCGAATTCCACACATATAGATAAATACCATCTCTCACAACAGCAAGAATGACCTCAAATCTAGCATCTGGAACGTCAAGTCAATGATTACGAAACCCTAAAACCTCAACGGATCTGCATTCCTAAATACGAGTCTCTACATATTCATAAACTGCGAAAACAAACCTCATTGATGGCAAGAACTTGGCCATTGCTCTTCTTCACCTTCTTCAGCTTCCTCAGAAAATACCTAATCCAAACAAAATCAACATTCAGAAATGAACCAAAATTCAAGCAGGGAGATACGGGATCAGATAATCCGACCTCAGGGGAAGGTTTTATACCAGAACTTGGACTTGGCGCGAACCTCGTTGGTGGCCCACAGCTTCATTCTGTAAATCTTCGGCTGCTCATCGGTCTCGGTGGGGAGCTTCCTCCCGACGACCTGGTACTGGTGGAACTGTAACACGAAAACGACGCCGTTAGTTGCAGCTCAAAACCCTAAAACCCCCATTTCTGTCAAGAGGGGGAGATCGGAGAAGAAGATACGCAGGCTTACCTTGAAAACGCCCATGTCGGAGAATCAGAGAAGACGCGGCTGAGATCTCTGAGGCCTCTCTGTCTCTCTGTCTCTCTCTGGGGTGAGATGCGCAGGGCAGGGTTTTTGTTTTGTTTATATACGAGGACGAAACCCTACTTCCATTGACTGGATAAATTATGGGCTTTTTTCAAAGGCTAAAAGTTGGGCTTTGCACAAGTAAGGCCCGTTTAAAAAAACCCAAAATATGCACAAAAGTGTGATTAAAACCAATTTTGTGATGCCACAAATAGGACTGATGAAAACAGAAGTTGAAGTGTAACGGTCAAACTATCACGTGATGTTACTAACAGGCAGTTTGATGCTTGCACTAAATAATTTCTGGACGGATGGATTGCCATTTGCATACCTAACGAGTAACGAATATCAATTCGCATCGACGAGTCCATGTTTTTACGGACTTTCGTTTAGAATTCATGGCATTGGCAATCTGGATTTGTCACAAGAAAATCGAATGAAACGGATCAGAGCAGATTATTACATATAAACATTGCTTCCCTGCTACTTTATATGTATGTACTTTGAGTAAATGCAATGCTAGCAAATTCTGAGATACAATTACAAACACCCAATATTCTCCGTCAAGTACATGTACAAGCAAGATAAGCCAACGTAATGATAATCAGCAATAGCCATCCCCTACAGCTCCTTCGAATGAATGCTAGGTGTACTAACACGGGATCAGATGATCGTTCACAGTCCTTAATTAAACCTCATCAGGTTTTCGCTTCCCTTTGTTACGCTCAGAATAACAGCAATCACAGCAAGAATCGACTGAAAAATGTAAAAACATAATTCAAATGAAAGCACAGCCAAAAGACCGAACCCAAAAAAAACACAAGGGTGCAACTTCTATTTCTATTTTCTAAATGAACTCAAGTATCGCAGGAATGAACAACGTGTAAATAGCATTACCCCAGTGACGAAGAACACTCGGTGTACACAAAGCATAACATGCATACCATGTTTATAACAATCTGACCACGTCTTAGTATTAGAATATGGTGGCTTGAAACAATAAATAAATCCGCGGAATGGTATGTAGACTTAAAACAGGCAGTGTGGACCATTACTGCGAATAGCTTGCAAAGATCCAGGTGAATTACAGACTAAGACACGCCTAACCAGGGACAACAACCCTCCATCCATAACACAGACGAGGTTAACCAAGATTGCAGGTCTTGCTATAAGACTAAAAAACAAGCAATTAAAGTAACAACCAGAGCCATCGCTTGTCAAGTTCCCTTTATGTGCATGGTTAACATATAAAACTGGATATATCTAGTGCCCATGTGCTGTTGGTTGCAAATTTTACAAACATCCAAGCTATCACCGTTTCATGAATCCTAAAACTGTTATTATGTGGAAGTAAAACAACGAGGAGAATTACTTAGACATGTACATTTTATGATACGAAACATAAGGAAGAAACACTTACAGCTATCGTGCATGCTACATATCCGGGCTTTTCTCTGTAGTCCACCTGCACACAAAGTAAGATGAAAGTTCCAACATACCAGGGGATGCCTCCAAGAAAGAACCCTGTTATAAACCTTCAGAAAAAGTCAAAACGTAATCTGTCAGTATTCAGTAACAGCCAGCCAGAAGAATGCTGAAGGAACAATTCTTGTAAGTCCAAAATTTAAAATTTCATAACAAAGCATCAAAAAGACTTTTTCTTGTCATGATCCTATGATGAACTCCGGAACTAGTAGAACTCCCTAAATTTAAAACTTCATAACTTGTCCAACAAATTATCATCCCATTATAAACCGCTTCCTGTAAGAACATATCGCATCCAACCATGTAAACTACTTAAGGACCAGAAGCTAGCACCAAATTCACAATGGTATTCGCCGAAACATGGTTAAACTATTTCATCCTTATACGGTGATTAGTACAGCACAGGTGATGTTCAACCCTCAAAACAAACTTATTTTGTATTGGTTTCGATCCCGATAGCTTCCCATCCTAATTCTTGACTACAAATCTGCCATAACCAATATGTTTTGTGGGAAATTTATGAGTTCTTCTGAAGATCTCAATGCCTTGAAACACAAAAACAAAGGAACCCAACAAATAAAAACTTGGAGTAAAGATTGAAAGCGAATGAATAAACTTACAATAACCAGCCTATGCCGATGCCGCAGCAAGGAAGGCGGCGTTCGCTAACAGGTCTTCCCTCCACAACAGCGTAACCTTCAAACCACAAAACCCCAATTTAATAAAAATAACAACAAATTAATAAGAAGATAAAAATTCATACCAGTGACCGTTTGGTATCCATGTTGGTGGTGGTGGTGGTGATGGGGAGGCAAGGGAGGACGGCCGGAGTAACCAGGAGGTGGGACGGGCTGAGGAAAACCGACGACCGGCTCAGGTGGAGGCTGCGGAGGCGGAGGGTAGTAGTTGGCGACGCCTTGGAAAGTGCCGTAGTACTGCTGCTGGCTCTGGCCCTGCTGGTCGCCGGAGAGAGTTCTGGTCTTGGAGTTGTCGCTCATTGTTTCGATCCCCAATTGAGAATTTGGGGAGGATGGAGGGTTTCAATCACCAGTGGGCGGTGGTCTCAATTTCTTGATTGGCTCAGCTGGCAGCTTCGGCAGGCTGGCGGGATCGTAATTTTGATGGACTTCGTGCCCATTTTTATTTCATATTTTGGGCTTCTCTCTTTTGGGCCTCTCAAAGCCCATGATACCAGAGTCTTGGTCTGGCTTGGGGGCCCTAGTATATTTCAAGGAAGTAGGTCATGATGAGATACTCAACGATCTATGTGACATGGTCCTTATACTCCTCCTATGGGTTAGACTAGTTAGTTGGAATTGTCCATTGTGTCCGAATTTGAGTCTTTATTATCGTAAATTATAATTTGGCATATCTAAGTGGAACGAATTTAAAAACCGCATCATAAATAATTGTGAGTTTTACATTATCCACATCATTATTTATCAAACAAATTGGCAATTTTTTAATGTTTTGTAGCCAAAATGATCACTGATGTTAGTATAACTCCTTACTTTGGTCTCTGAGATTTGAAATCGATATAGATGATCCCTAAGTTTGTTCACCATCAATCATTTTGGTCATTCCGTGAAAAATCTCTATTAAAACATGACAAAAATAACAAAAATACCCTTAATTTTATAAACAACGGGCCAAAATGATTTGACAACAAATTGAGGGTATTTTTATTATTTCCTCATTATTTAACATAGATTTTCACAGGGATAGCCAAAATGATTGATGATAGACAAACTTAATGACCAGTCAAGGGCGGAGCTACCATGGGTCTAGGGGCGGATGCCCCCACTGAGATTTTTCTGATTCAGCTCAAATTGATATGGTTCTGCAACAGCAAAACCCCCACTAAGATTTTTCTAGTTCTGTTCAAACCGATCTGGTTGTTGAGTTTTAAGTGTTTGTTTGTATATACCTTTTCAGATAAACAACAACACAAAAATACAAGATATATAGAGCAAGGTGTGATCAACACACTGATCACCCTTGAATCACTCCTACATGGCAACTCCATAAAACAAGGAGCAGAAATAAGGTAAGGCAAAAAGCTTCTAACCACCCTAGAAGTATGGGAATAAAGATACAAGATCTAACTAGAAGTACAGTGACAACTACACCCTAATCATCAACCTAACAAACAACTCCGGATACCCACTCTTGACTTTTATTATACGATACGGGATGACTTATGCTGCACTGCGTATATTGATGCTGCATATGGAATACCTACTCTTGACTTTCAATACTGGTTCTGCAGCAGTAGAGCTGGGTAAAAAAAATTCAAAAAAAAGTAAACGAAACAACGTTGTTTCGTATGTGTTTGAAAAAAAAGAAGTATGTATAGTGGGGGACCGCTTGTCCCCACGGTCCACCCCTATTCCATCCCCATTTCATTTTTATTTGCCTTTGCCAATCAGAGAGCAGTGTGATGCTGCTCTGCCCCCAAATTCCCAACAGCTTGAAATGGAACGGAACATGCAGCCAATGCAGTGCAGCCACGCTAGTAGCCAACCACTCCAGCCAGCCACTCTTTAGCCGACATATATATATTTAGGTAAATTTGTTAATTCCTAAATCTATAATCCCTAACCCTAATTAATTATTTAAGACAAATTTTTGTTTAATTGGTATAGAAATATAGAACACTAGTAGAAAAAACACTTTGCGCGACGAAAACTTGCGCGACGCAGCCAAATTCGTCGCGCAAAGTATGTTTGCGTGACGTCAAACACAAAGCGTCGCGCAAACGGACTTTGCGCGACGGAAGTTTGCGCGACGAAGACCGACGTCACACAAAGGTGTTTTGCGCGACTTAACTGAACCTACGTCGCGCAAACTTGTTTTGCGCGACCAAGACCGACGTCGCGCAACTTGCCGTCACGCAAAGGCCGTTTGTGCGACGTTTTGTGCGTCCCGCAAGATTTTGGCGCCAAATATAGATTGCTTTACCGTTTTTTCATTGACTTTGCGCGACGCAAGGCCACCTACGTCAAGCAAACCAGCTTAGCGTGACGGAGGTTTTGACCTACGTCACGCAAAGCTGTTTTGCGTGACGTAGGTGGCGTCGCGCAAAGTCAACGACCTTTTTCTTACTTCATTTAATCAGTTACCTCCCTCCCCCATCTCTCTTCAAAACATTCTCCATTCTTGGCGTATGAGATCTTGAAGCATATAAAAACATGTTTGACAGTTTGATCGTTGAAATTAATTCGTACAATGCGTTTCCCATCAAAACAATTGATTTACTAACACTTAGAGTTTAATTATATTTTCATTAAGTATAACTTCATATTTTGTGGTATCCGCTTGTGTAAATACTTTAAATTGACGATCGAATATGTTCATTGTATTCATAAAGGGTCAAGGAGTGTATCTGTAAAAATTCATCAAAATCGGAGTTAAATGTACCGCTAAATCGTGATTTTTCGTTTATAACCGTCGAAATATTTTGTCATGTTACTTGATCTCTGCATGTTCGTTTTTTGCCATTCTTGGCGTATGAGATCTTGAAGCATATAAAAACATGTTTGACGGTTGGATCGTTGAAATTAATTTCGTACAATGCGTTTCCTATCAAAACAATTGGTTTACTAACACTTAAAGTTTAATTATATTTTCATTAAGTATAACTTAATATTTTGTGGTATCCACTTGTGTAAATACTTTAAATTGACGATCGAATATGTTCATTGTATTCATAAAGGGTCAAGGAATGTATCTGTAAAAAATCATCAAAATCGGAGTTAAATGTACCGTTAAATCGTGATTTTTCGTTTATAACCGTCGAAATATTTTGTCTTGTTGCTTGATCTCTGCATGTTCATTTTTTGCCATTCTTGGCGTATGAGATCTTGAAGCATATAAAAACATGTTTGACGGTTGGATCGTTGAAATTAATTTCGTACAATGCGTTTCCCATCAAAATAATTAATTTACTAACACATAGAGTTTAATTATATTTTCATTAAGTATAACTTAATATTTTGTGGTATCCGCTTCTGTAAACACTTTAAATTGACGATCGAATATGTTCATTGTATTCATATAGGGTCAATGAGTGTATCTGTAAAAAATCATCAAAATCGGAGTTAAAAGTACCGTTAAATCGTGATTTTTCGTTTATAACCGTCGAAAATATTTTGTCTTGTTGCTTGATCTCTGCATGTTCGTTTTTTGCCATTCTTGGCGTATGAGATCTTGAAGCATATAAAAACATGTTTGACGGTTGGATCGTTGAAATTAATTTCGTACAATGCGTTTCCCATCAAAACAATTGATTTACTAACACATAGAGTTTAATTATATTTTCATTAAGTATAACTTCATATTTTGTGGTATCCGCTTGTGTAAATACTTTAAATTGACGATCGAATATGTTCATTGTATTCATAAAGGGTCAAGGAGTGTATCTGTAAAAATTCATCAAAATCGGAGTTAAATGTACCGCTAAATCGTGATTTTTCGTTTATAACCGTCGAAATATTTTGTCATGTTACTTGATCTCTGCATGTTCGTTTTTTGCCATTCTTGGCGTATGAGATCTTGAAGCATATAAAAACATGTTTGACGGTTGGATCGTTGAAATTAATTTCGTACAATGCGTTTCCCATCAAAACAATTGATTTACTACACTTAGAGTTTAATTATATTTTCATTAAGTATAACTTCATATTTTGTGGTATCCGCTTGTGTAAATACTTTAAATTGACGATCGAATATGTTCATTGTATTCATAAAGGGTCAAGGAGTGTATCTGTAAAAATTCATCAAAATCGGAGTTAAATGTACCGCTAAATCGTGATTTTTCGTTTATAACCGTCGAAATATTTTGTCTTGTTGCTTGATCTCTGCATGTTCGTTTTTTGCCATTCTTGGCGTATGAGATCTTGAAGCATATAAAAACATGTTTGACGGTTGGATCGTTGAAATTAATTTCGTACAATGCGTTTCCTATCAAAACAATTGGTTTACTAACACTTAAAGTTTAATTATATTTTCATTAAGTATAACTTAATATTTTGTGGTATCCACTTGTGTAAATACTTTAAATTGACGATCGAATATGTTCATTGTATTCATAAAGGGTCAAGGAATGTATCTGTAAAAAATCATCAAAATCGGAGTTAAATGTACCGTTAAATCGTGATTTTTCGTTTATAACCGTCGAAATATTTTGTCCCCGTTACTTGATATTTGCATGTTCGTTTGTTGCCATTTTTGGCATACGCGATCTCGAATCATATACAAACAAGTTTGACGGTTGGATCGTTCAAAAATATTTTCGTACAGTGCGTTTCCTTTCAAGTTCAGTGGTATATATATTTACTATGTAGATTTTAATTTATTTATTTTGTAGTTATAACACTTAAGAGATTGAATGATATATATGTTAAAAAATTATTATGGATTTTTGTTAGAAAAATATATTATTGTGGGGTTTAAGTAAAAAAAAGAATTGAACTTGAATGGAGTAAAATCACATTTTCAGTAAAATTTTTAATAATTTTTTTTAAAAATAAAAATAACTTGCGTGACGCTTTAATGTAATCGTCGCGCAAAACCACTTTGCGCGACGTCAAATTGTATACCTACGTCACGCAAACTTGATAATTTTGGCGGTGAATAATGAAAAATAGGTGAATAATGAAAATTTTTGGCGCTGAACTCGTTGACCTATTTCTTCCCTTTCGCTCTTTCTTTCCCGTATCTCCCCTACCCTTTCGCATAATCCTTCATCTTTCCCCTTTCCCGTATCTCCCTCTCGCTATATCTTTCCCTCATCTACTCTTCCCCTTTCGCATTATCTTCATCTTTCCCCGCATAATCCTTCATCCCAATTAGTTGCAGCAAAAGAAAATTTCTTAATTGTTGTGGATCCGCAAATGCTTCATCTTTCCCCTTTCCCCTTTCCCGTATCTCCCTCTCGCTCTCTATCTTTCCCTCTCGCCTCTCTCGCTCTATCTTCCCTCCCCGTCACTCTCTCTCCCCTTTCCATAATCCTCATCTACTCTTCCCGTAGTCCTCATCTCCTCTATCTCTCATTTTCGCCTTGATCCCCAAATCTTGAACCCAGTACCGCAGCCCACACGAATCTCGAAGCCGACGTGAATCAAGTCTCAAATTCAAGGTAAGGGTTTCTGATGCAAATGTTGGTCTGGTTACTGAATTTAGCTGATGCAAATCTCGAAGGCTTGACTGATTAATTTATGATTATGAGATGGGTTTTGTTTAGTCTCCAATAACTCTCAATATCTCTGATTTTATGAGATGGGTTTTACTGATTAATTTATGCAAATGTTGGTTTGGTTGAAATAGCAATTGAGTCTCCAACATTCGAAGGCTTGACGTTCTTGTGTGGTGTTTTTCTCCCTCTGTGTGCAGACGGTTCCTGCTTGTCAAAATCTCCAAGGCTTGACGGTTCCTGCAGACGGTTCCGGCTTGACGTTCTTTGCTGCTCCGTATAAATTAGCTTGAGGGTGAGCCTATCACTGTCCCTCACCTAATTGTAAACAGCAGTTTCTCAGCAGCCTCACCTACTTGTGGGTTTCCTTCTTTGAATGGTTTTAATATGGTATTCCTGACGTTGCTGTTATGTAATTGCCTTTTCTTTTCAAAATTTCCCTTAATATGATATATGTAAGAAAAGGAGGGCGAGGGTTTTGGTTTACAGTGAGGGATGAATGGGCACTATTCAGCTTTGAATTTACAGAAAATGCCAAAAATTTAACTCTTGATATGTTTCGTGTGTTAAGGAACTAGTACATCAAACTGTAGAGCCAATAGGTAACTTACTATTGGGCTTTGCTTCTCATTAGACTTGGTCTCCAGTCTCAGCCAGAATATTCTCCAGTGAAGACTCAATTTTCAATACAACTCCAGTGGATGCCTTTACCAAACCAAAAATGAATAAACGTAAAATGAACCAATAGAAATACAATTCCATTATGATTTCTTGAAAAATGTGTAGAGTACCTTTTAAATTGTTGCTCGTCCTCAGGTCTTTGAGAAGTCTCTGCTATGCACTTTAACCCTTGATGAGGTACATATGTTCTTATAATTGATTTTTCTTTCTGTCTTTGTATCTAAACATGTGACAATATTTTTTAATATCTTTGTTCATTGAGCTTCTTTTCTTTAGTACCTAGATTTGTACCTCATCCGCGTAGATGGCTTAAGAAGAAGAATATCATGCGCTGTTGAAAGAGAGCATGGCTTGGAGTATTCATTAATCAGGGAAACCTTTCAGGTTTTGTTTTTATTTTTCACTTATATAAAAACGTAATTCATTTTTGCGGCGAAGTTACAAGGAAAACTAGTTGGGATTAAACTTACCACAATTACTAAATTGCAATTAAATTGTATGTGTCTCTTGGTCTTCTAAATTAAGTGAGGTTTGGTCAGGGGTGGGTGGGGTGGGATTACAGGTGTTACATTGTTGTTTGCATATTCACTAGCTTGTTATTTTGTATATAAGCGTAACTCAGCTAAGTTTATTACGAAAGTTGCTTGACAAGTGCTAAATTGCTGATCGGGCATATGTCAAGTTTTGTTTAAACTGCTGAAATGGCATGCTGTTAAATGGAAGAATGAATAGAGAGTACTAGTGTATTTGGATATGTTTTCGGTGATTACTGCCTAGTTGGTTGTTAACATAATTTTGTTATTCTTCTGCCTGGAATCAGGTGGAAGGTTGCGTTATATGTTTGTTAAAATCATTGTGTCTCCTGCTGTCATCTCCGGGATGACTAGAGCACATGTAGTGAGCAGTCTTGCAATTTTTTCACACATGGTTTATTTGTTCAGTTTTCTTGCCTTTTTTCTTCTAGTTTCAAATGCAAGAAAGGATTAGTTTCTAATGTTATATTTTTATGGTTCAAAAAGTGTAGATGTCGCGGTTGATCACTCGTCGTAGGAGTGTGACCAATGCGCCTCCCGCATTATCACCATCTACTGCTCCGGCCGTGAGTGCTCCATTGATTGGGGAGCCTACACCTTTCATTGAGGCTACTGCTACGACATCCCAGGTGCCATTATCATCGACGTCATCAGTGTCCGTTCAGTTTCTCAATGCACGGCGGCCTCACCGGCGCCGCCGTGATTCAGAGTCTTCTATTCACAGTTCCTCGTCATCCAGAGTCGAGGATGGGGGCTCCCCTCCAGGTAGTTTTTTTTTTCTAATTCTCATTATGTTGTTTTTTTTTTCATTTTAAAATTATTATTTTTATGATTGTGAAAATCTGCTGGATTGTGAAAATCTGTTACGGGTTGTGAATTACTGTTATTTTACTTTTTTAAGGTTTTGGGAAATGATATATTGTTAGGGGAGGTTTTGCAGAATTTTTTGTAGAAATTTAAGCTTAGGGTTTTCACCATAGTTTTTTTGGGCAGCTAAAAAAAACACCAGGGGGCCTAATCGAATGCTGAAGGCGGCACAAATGGTACGTCTGTCCGCCTCCTTGATCAAGATTGCATATGACTCGCGACATCGTGGAGCGGCTACCTCACAGCAACATAGTATCGTCGTTACTAGCTGTGGTTATGTTATTAAAAATTGTTGTCCTATGCAATGGAAATCTTGGGCAGAAATTCCCGAGGAGACGAAGATACTGGTGCGAGACAAGTTGTCGGTTAGTATATTAATTTTTAGCCTTTTGTCATTTTTTTTTTCAATTATGTTTACAAATATTATAAGCCAAAGTGTACTATCTTAATATTATTAAATTTCTTACTATTATTTTGTTGTTTTTCATATTTGTAGGTCAATTTTGATTTTAAGGACATATCCCCCGAGGTCATCACCTACTTAGATGAGACCTTTGCAAACCGGTACAAAAATTGGAAGAGCGATCTTCATGCGCATTTTAAGATATGGGGTGATGTGGAGACTGCTCGCCTACAGGGTTGCCCATCCGAGTTGGCGGACCGGCGAGAGGATTGGGAGTGGCTTTGCAACCATTTTACGGACCCAAAATTTTGTGGTATGTACATAATATTTTAATAATAATTCATTAATGTTTTAGTTATTTTTTTAAGCATTTTTAAAATAATTGCTTTTAAATCGTCACACTAACATCTATATTATGTGTTTCACAGAAGAAATCTATTGCTGGCAAGATTGCTCGGGAGTCAAAGACACTTCTCCACCATTCCGGTTCGAAACCCTTTTCGTATAGGCTTGAGGCACGACGTGAGGTAAAAGTATATTACTTTTGAAATTTTATACAATTTATTTTTTATTATTGATTAATAAAATTTTCTTAATGTTTTTTTTTTTCTTCAGGAGGGTTCTAAGTTCCCAGAGATCGACGTGTTCAATGACGTTTACGTTCAACCTGGCGATGAGACCAGTGAGCAGCTTTATGTAAGTATATGTAATTGTTATTATTCTTATATTTATGAATCGTTCAAATAATATTTATATTTTGTTATTAAACATTATATGTTTTTTCTTTATTATTACAGGCTTCTATGGTGGAAAAGCGTGATGTTGTTCTCCAAGAAGCAACATCGCAACTTCCCCCGGATACCCCGATTGAGGACGTCACTGTATCCGATGATGCAGGTTTTGAGATCATGACTGAGGTCCTGAATCAGAAGTTCGGTCGTCGTCATGGCAAAGTTGTTCGGGGCATGGGGAAGGCGCGTGTTCGTGAAACGGGTGCCTCCTCTTCCAGATCGACCACAGGAGAGGTCAATGCTCTGAAGGAGGAAGTGACAACCTTAAAAGGTCAGCTTGTAGCCCAGAATGAGCAGATGAAGGTTCAGAACGAGCAGTTGAGGGCCGAGAACGAGCAGATGAAGGCTCAGGTTAGGACCCATGACGACAAGATGAATATGATTCTACAGGCCTTAGCGATATCCGGTCTTCAAATCCAGATGCCATCACCTGATCTTGTTCCACCTTCGACTTCCCAGCCATTTCATCCAACTGATACCTAGTAGTTTGATGTATCAAACCTAGAAGACTACTTATTGTAGTTTTTTCTTTTTTTGTTCGGACATGTTGTATGTATATTTTTATGTAGTTTATAATTAAATACTTTTTATTGGTTTATTATTTATTTTTTAGAATTGAATTACAGTATTTATTAAAAATTATATCAAAACTTTTTTTGTCCCAAAAAAAAAAAAGTTTGCGTGACGAAGAAGTTGCATAGGTCACGCAAAGTGCCTTTGCGTGACGCAAAATCCTACGTCATGCAATTTTTTTGTCCAAAAAACAGTTTGCGTGACGACGAAGAAGTTTCCTACGTCGCGCAAATATCTTTGCGTGACGCATATACGTCGCGCAAAGTAGCTTTGAGCGACGCAGGCAACTTCTTCGTCGTCACGCAAAGTAGCTTTGCGTGACGTAGATGTACGTCACGCAAAGCTACTTTGCGCGACGTAGGTAAGTGCGTCACGCAAAGTGGCTTTGCGCGACGCATGCAACTTCTTCGTCACGCAAACCCTGCTTTCACAGGCTTGGCGCGACGTGTGGTGCGTGACGAAGGTTCGTCGTGCAAAAACTTGCGTGACGTTTTTATGACTTTGCGCGACGAAGGACCTACGTCACGCAAAGTGTTTTTTTTACTAGTGGAATCATATGGTAATGCACTAATATGATTATTGGTTATTGATTACTGATATGAATTCTATGATTATTGATGAATGAAATTATGAATTCTATGAATATGGGTATACATTTATTCATATGATTAGTTGAATTAAATGTTTATTTGTTGAATAATTTGTATGCTTATTGGTATTGGTTAATTGAATTGTTGGTTGGATTAGTTATTAGGCATATTAGTATAGTGTTTAGTAAATTCTTAGTAAATTCTTGAGCTTTTTAATTATGACTTTGTTGTTTGAGGATGCCCCCATTCACACAAATCTTTGACTTCGTTCATGTGACAAGTTCTATCGATTTTAAATCTTAGATACCAAAATAAAGAATTATGTCTATCTCAAACCCAAATTATCCATGTGGCACTAAATTATTCATAATTCGTCCCCATTGCATGAAAATGATAGGTAACAAATGTGAATTGCCTAAAGATGATTATTAAAGTTGCCATACCATATGTGGTAACATAATTCATTTCTTGCCCAATCACACCGTTTTCTTTTATTGAATTATATTTGTATAAGTATTAAACTATGATTTGTATATGAGTAGAAATGATTAGTTACATGTAAGAAGTCAAACGTCTCTGTTTGACTACAAACATACGGAATGTATACGAAGAAGTTTTTTAATTTTCTGGAAAGATCGAGTTGACAAATATAAAAACTTCTGACCAGAAACCACACATAAAGAATTTGAACTTTCGAATAATAATATAAAGATAGAAAGTAGCATCGTGAGAGTGGACAACTTGAACACAAACATAATCTTCCTAGCAAAAAGAAAAATACAAACAATAAACTAATCCTAATTAACGTGCATGCGTCATTGCAAATGATGTTGTGACAGCAATATTTAGCTTTTGAAAATTTAATGTAATTAAATCCATATATTAGGGACCACTCACACATCATCACCACACAAAATTTTTGTTTATTAAAATTTTCAAATTTTAATTTTCAGTTTTTTCAATCAATTGGAACAGCACAACCAACCATTAAAACTGCAGCTGGGTTGCAGTATTTATAAAATTGAATTGCGATTAGTAAAAATAAAAAGTAAAAACGAAATGTTTATCAAACAATTTCTTACTTAGTTTGCGAAGTTTAGGCAGGCTGGCCGGTTGAGAAACCCGTTAAAGAGAGATGACTTTTTTCTGGTGAACCAATAGGCAAACACTGGATCCAAACCAGTGAAATCACATTGTTATGTCGCAAATCATATACTGCTATATATTGTCATGCCGCAGACCGTAAAGCACAAGGCACGCATGCATACAGATCCTTGACAGCACCAGGTAACTTTGCAGAAACCCTAACCCTAACCCTAAAAAGGAACAAGTTTGACCAACACAAACACAGCAGCAAGCAAACGATTCGTTCCGCTTTCCTCGTCTTGTCTCACACTTTTAAAAGCAATCTGTCCACAAATTCTCTACTGTACTGTAACAGTACTGATGAACTTTTTACCTATTCAAGTCATACTTTGTAGTAAATACATACGACAGGGACTGGCTCCACCATGCATGCAACTTCTTTGATTTGGAATTGGATCCTCTCTTGAGCAGGAAATCAAGATCCTGACCTACTAACACGGATCGTTGGATTTTAATTCAACGGTTACAATTATTATAATTTTTAGAATGATTCCTTATTTGTAGCCGTTTTATCAAAATACAATGGCCCGTGTTATTGGGTCAGGAGGATCCTAATCTCCCGCTCAGGAGAGGATCCAATTCCCTTTGATTTGGGAAAATAATCCTCTTTGTGGGAATCCGGAGATCAAGCAATCACGATATACAAGTGGTTGAATATTTTTTTTTTTTTGTTCTAAATATCCATACACTTATATTATAACACTTGATGTACCTGATTGTATTTTCGACATGGTTGAAATTCTATCCGCCCATTGCATGCATCGATGGCACTTTTATCATCACGTGCTACTTAGACTGTTGTTATGTCATGGTTTAAATATTCAAGATAAACAAGGCTGGCCAATAAAACAATTAAATAACATTAAACGGAAGGATTATCGTCTCGATCATCCACCAAGTATCCACCAAATGGACGTAACAATACACACTTTTTCCAAAGAATCGTAGCCCTCCATCTCAAACATCTGTACACAAATGAGAAACCCACAATTGAACGCACGAAACGACGACGGAAGAGCTCGTTGTTTGACCGGACCCTAGAAACTTCTTGTAAACCTTAAAACGAACAAATTAAATCCGACGCAACCAGGGCATTTTTGACTAATCGCTCATGGCGAAGAGGCGGCGGGGAATCGCGTGCATCTCGGGGACAGGAAAACCATGCAGTCGTCTTTGGGGCAGATAGTCGGGACAAACTCGATGTCATCGCAGCCGTCCGTTCTGTGCCTCCTGAAATCAATCAACGTACAGAACATCGCGATGAAGAGTACAAGGTGGTTCAAGGCGTACCTCTGTCCCACGCACTGGTGGGCCCCGGCCCCGAACGCCAAGTAATTCCTTTTGTAAACCCGGTCCTCCTGCCTCTCGTCCGAAAACCGGTCTGGGTCGAACCGCTCCGGCTCCGTGAAGCCCTGAAAACATGACTCGAAAGCCGAGGGGAACACAATGGTGCCTTTAGGGATCGTATACGTCTCCGTTAACGGAAAGTCAACGGCAGCAATGTGCGGGACCATCGTCGCAGGAGCTCTGTACCTCACTACCTCGCGCGCCACCGCGTGGGTGTACTTCATTTTCGAGAGCATTTCGGCCGTTATCGGAGAGTCACACTCCTGCGACCAAATCCCGGCTACTTCTTGCCGGACCATCTCCAGGACCTCCGGGTGCGAGTCGAGCAGCGTCACCGCCCACAGCAGCGACGACGTCGAAGCGTCCTGAGCCGCGAAGAGGAAGTCGAATAGGTGGCCACCTATCTCGGCCTCGCTGGCGTGAGCCGGAGCCGGTTCGATCGACCCAGATTCACCCGCGGTTCCGTGCATCCAGAAATCGATTAGACAAGTAGGCTCGACGTCGTCGCCTCCATTGTCCATTCTCTTCCTACTCTCTTTGGCGCAATCCGACAGCGTTTCGACCAGTCGGCTCACCGCAAGTCGCGCGTTACGAAAAGAGAAACCGGGGAGGTCGATCGGCAGCTTCATCAGGCCGACGTTGAAGAAATTGTAATCGGACTTGAACCGCTCGCGGGCTGCGGGGTCAAGGTAGGGCCCGACGAAAACTGTCTGGGAGGTCTCGAGGTTCATGTCGCGGACCAGGAACCGCAGCGGGACCGGGTCCTGGCCGGACCGTGATGATATTCGGAGCCAGTTCTTCAGATGTCGGAGGATAATGATCTGCTGGAGCGCAGTGTACGTGGAGAGGGCTTTTGGGGTGAAGTTAGGAGCTATACGACGTCGTAGGTCCTTGTGGGCTTGGCCAGTCATGTAGATGAGGTTGTGTTCCCCGAAGAGTTTTTTGCCGAAGGGGTGGCCCACGAGGGCGAAGGCGTCGGGGCGGACGTTAGCGAAGATTTTGTGGGAGAGGTTGGTGTCGCGGACGAAGAGGATGAAGCGGCCGAAGATGTAGTTGGCGGAGAGGCCGTCGGGGGATGACTTGGCGAGAGATGATTGGATGTCCCAGAAGCGGGTCGGGTTGCGGACTAGGGGGATTGCGTTGCCAAGAAAAGGGAGGACGACGGTGGGGCCCGGGAGGGAGCGTTTTTTGGAGAGGTAGGAGAGTTGTTCGAGGAGGAGGAGGAAGAGGAGGAAGGTGGCGGCGTAGGGGAGGAGCGGGAGGAGTGAAGTCGCCGTCATCGCCGTCGGGAGGGAGTTTATAGTTTGGCTTTTGAGAGTGTGTGGATGGGTATAAATAGTAAGGAAGGGCCAGGGAGTCTAGGAAGAAAAAGTTGGGGTCGGAAGAGATGGCATTTGTTGTTGCAAGTTCTGGGCTTTCTCCAACTGAAAATGTAGTTTGAAGCTGTGGGAGGAGAATATATATACAGTGGCGGAGTGGGGCGGAGGTCCAGCTGGATAGCTGAGGAGCTGACCTAGATAATTCAATTAATTAAAATCTTGTTGTAAAATAAAATATTTTATTGATAATATATAGATCAACCCCTCGTGTTATTTTTTAAAAGCTATTGTAATTTAATTGATTTAAAAAAAAAAATTCGAACTTAAGTACAGAAAATCATGTTGTGAGATAATCAACTTTACAATGATTATATTTGGACTAAACTCATATACTACAGAGTTCCAATTAAACTTTCATGTTTAAACGTATTAAAAAAATAAAAAAATTAGTCGTCTATAAGATGAGAAATCAAGCGAACAACTATAATATAGTGGATGGTTGAATGATTTAGTGGAAATTAAAATTAAGAAAGTGACTATTGGCAATAATAGTAGAAGGGACAAATTTGATGTAAGGAACAATGACAAGCCCATGCACATGCACATGCACATGCAGTTGCAGTACAACAATGATGTCACATCTCAATCCGCATAGTAAGATATGATTCGCTTTGGGCCACGTTTTTACGGATTTGTTCTTGGCTTCCACCCAAAACACATCTTACTATAGGAATGTGGACATGTACATATAAGGCATATCACCTCCTTTTCCCCAGGTGATGTGGGATTACAAATGACCAATCGTAAATCTAGAAAATATTATGGGGGTCAATAAGAATAATATGAGCAATCCGCAAATTTTTTTGGACGAAATAAACACGCAAGTCGGTATTTTATCGAGTCTTGGTAGGTCTGAGGTCATTTGATAAGTCATATTGCATGTATGTCGATAGATGCCAATAGCTTTCGAACACACATGTCGATTAATGTCAATAGTTTTTAAGTGAGCACGTCGACATATGCCAAGTGAGCCTATTGAAAAAGGGATGCGGCTACCATCAACTCTGCCCAATGCCCATAGAAGCAATTCTTCGAGCAATTGGAGTCCAACTTTTAAAGACATCTCAGATTTAAAATGATAGCACCTACCTTTTTCATATAGAATTTCTAAGCTTGGGAGGGGAGCTAGCTGACCTATCTTGCCCCAAGGCGGATCCGCACGCCTTTGACGATAATAGGCCCACACACATGCTAATTTAATGTATGAAGAATAATTCTTAACATACATTATAGAGTGTGCCCAACAAAAATGTATGTGGAAAGTTATGAAGAAAAAAAAAGTGTCACAAATTCGCCTTATGTGTATATATGACACACCCCGACCGAGATCAAGGCATGTTGGCCGTCACGTGAGAGTGATGTAGCCATGTGCACAGTGCAGAAGCAAAAATGATAGGAAATATACAAATAATTAAAAACCGAATTACTAGAGTGCACTACTAAACCGGAAGTGATAGGAGTTAGTTACAAAAGTAAATACTCCTAATTAGAGCATAAAAGTCTAGGTGTAGTCCAGTAGGACAAGTACTAGTTATACAGTACTAGGAATGTCCTACTATTATTTAGATAGGTCAGAACTGCCGACGTCCTCAAGCCACCAACAACAAGCTTACTTAAAACCTGGAGGGGCGCAAAATAGAAAACGTGAGTAGGCAAAAACATATGTTTTACAAAATCATTTCATTTATCAACATATATAACCCCCTGCTGTAAAACATGTATAATTTTTCCCAGAATCAAGATATAAGCATATACATAAATATATATATATATATATATATATATATATATATATGAAATCATATCAATTCAATTCATGCTTCACATAATCATATTCATATGTATGCCATGACAAGATATAATAGAGTAAGCAATTCAGGTAAGAATAATTTCATAGAAATATAACATGTTGGCCGGAACCCCTGTGGTAATTTGTACGGCTGAATTCATACCTCAAAATCAATCTAGTCGGAGTCACTATAATGACCTATACGACAATATACTGCACAAGAGTCGGAACCAAACAAAAAGGTATGTACAACAATAATGGGTGTAATACATGCTTAATACTACTCTTACATAATAGCTGGGCGATAAATCGCTAGTCACCTACGAGTCGGAACCATGAATAAGGTCTGTACGAAAGACTGTGCACCTAAAATGGATCCAATATGAGCATATGGTGCGGGAAGTGACATAATAAACAAGCATGTGCCGTAACTCTGGCTAAATCACAATCACCCTAAGTGCAGTCTTATGAGCTCAACATTATTCAATCACATATCACATCATCGATAATTCACATAACCAAACATAACTTACCTGAGCTTACCTGAGCATCCACAACACCACATTTATATATAATGCATCACATACCAAAACATATACGAAATATAAATCCATATGTATGGCATTTAAGGCATAAATTCATTTAAACGCACATTTCTGGGAAAATATCAAGTATATAAATATATACTGAAAATCAAAAGCCTACTCACTGGTATGTCGAAGGGTCGTAGCCCCCGAGTCGTCCTTGGATACGCTCGTCCTCGAGATAAGTCTCATCTATATGCGAATTAACTATAAAAATGTTATTTTAGAGCATATAGACAAAACTAGCTAATAACTTCTCATACATAGTTCAAAGTGGGTATATGAATATACCACAGTGACCTACACAACCTCAGGGTCATCCCCAAATTTTTAGATTAATTTTTGGACCCCTCACGCGCCGCCATGCGCCAGCAAGACGCGCGGCTACGCGCAGGGAATCCTGACGGATTCTCTAACTGCCGTTAGGAATATTCTCTGGAATATTCCGTTAAAACCCAACGATAACCGTTAATCCTAACTGACGGCGTCAGAATATTCTGTCAGGATTGACGAAAAATTCTGTCGTCTTCTTCCTAAATCCCCGGCAACCGTCACCGTTGCCGGAAACTGAGGATTTTGAAAAACCTTGTTTTCTCACTCATTTCTTTACCATTTTTCATGAAATTTGAACCATTGGAAAGCTAACAATATGTAGAATCACGTTATACAAGTTTCAAGGCCTAAAATCTACTAGGTTTTCCCCGAGAAAGCTCGATAGTTCGGCTTACCTAGATATATGTCGATCTTAGCCCTCCGACATCCAAATCCTTCCAACGAAGTACCCCAAGACTCGTGAGGACCTCCTTAAGCCTCCTATTTCCTTAGAATTCTCTGAAACACAAGGTTTTACGTGTGCATGAATAGTGCATAAAATCGGGGTTAGGTTTTCTCAGGTTTAACACGGTTTTAAGTCTTAAGAATGGTATAGACGTACTCAGGGACTTGCAAGGAAAAAGAATCTCACCTTTAGAACGTCGATCTGTGCTCGAAGGTGAGCTTTGTTGCTTGTTGAGTGTGGTGTATGTGTGGTCCACATGGGTCACCAATCCCAAAACCACAAAATAACCTCTAAGTCTCATAATAAGTCACACACACACACACTACAATCTCAACGTCTAAGGATAAAACCGTCCTTTCACGTCATCGAGAAATAAATAATACACGTCTCCGGGACGGGCTACGACAATCTTCCCACCTTATAAAATTTCGTCATCGAAATTACATACAACCACTACATCCACTAATAATCATAAAATAAGCATGGATACATCTCTCTCATCCGATCATCTGTCTCCCAAGTAGCTTCTTCCACTAAATGATTTCTCCATAAAACTTTCACTAAGTGCACGGTCATATTCCTTAGTTCCTTATCCTTCCAATCCAAAAGAGTCACAGGTGTTTCATCATAAGTCAAATCCGGATTAATTTCCAAAGGTTGAGAAGGAATCACATGTGAAGGATCTGAAACATAATGTTGAAGCATCGAAACATGAAATATATCGTGCACCTTGGACAACTCTGGAGGCAACTCAAGCCTGTAAGCAACCTCACCAACTCGCTCGGTGATCATATATGGTCCAATGTACCTAGGACTCAACTTCCCTTTCTTTCCAAATCGTACAACACCTTTCCAAAGTGATAGCTTCAGAAATACCCAATCACCTTCATTATACTTCCGATCAGTGGCATACTTGTCTGCTAAGCTCTTTTGTCGATCTTGGGCCGTTTTCAGGTTAGACTTAATTACCTAAACATTTTGAGTAGTCACATCCACAATCTCAGGGCCCACTAAAACTCTTTCACCAACCTCTGACCAACATAGAGGCGTACGACAAGATTTCCCATATAGTGCCTCAAATGGTGCCATACCAATACTCGAATGATAACTGTTGTTGTAGGCGAACTCCATCAAATCCAAACAATCATGCCAACTATCTCCAAACTGCAGCACTGAAGATCTCAACATATCCTCTAATGTCTGAATAGTCCTCTCAGATTGTCCATCTGTCTGAGGGTGATATGCCGTACTATAAAGTAATCTCATACCAAGAGTTTTTTGGAATGCTATCTAGAACTTGGAAGTGAATCTAGGATCCCGATCTGAGATAATATTAACTGGCACACCATGGTACTTCACAATTTGTGATATAAATAACTTAGCTAATCGGCTTAACGAATACTTCTCCCTCACTGGAATAAAATGTGCTGACTTAGTAAGCCGATCAACCACCACCCAAATGTCGTCACAACCATTATGTGTACGAGGAAGCTTGTACACAAAATCCATAGTAATATTTTTCCATTTCCACTGCAAAACAGGAAATGGCTGCATCAACCCAAACGACTTCTTCCTTTCAGCTTTAACCTGTTGGCAAATGGCACACCTACTCACATATTCGGCAATTTCTCTTTTCATACTCGGCCAATAATAAAATGGTCTAATGGTATGATACATCTTAGTGCCTTATGGATGCATCGCTTATGCTGAATTATGTGCTTCATCCAAAATTTCTTTCTTTAACTCTGCATTATTTGGCACATACATTCTGCTTTCCTGCATAAGCATACCATCAATTTCTCGAATCCTGAAATCTTTCTTTTTGCCTTGATTTCTTGCTTGAATTATTTCCTGTGTCTCATCATCATCCATCTGAGCCTCGAGCACATGATCAATTAAAATTGGCCTAACTTGAAAATTAG